GGTTTCATAAGAGGCGCTACACCCACCCCATGACTGCTTCCTCCTGCAGAGGGAGACTCCTGAGGGCAGGGCACTCGGTGTCCTCCGTGTCCCCAGCACCCAGACGTGTCACATTCACCCCATGTGCTTGGTATTCTCCAGTGAACTAACAAGCGCAGCTTAAGGTAAGCTTTTCCCCAAATCCGACCTTGCAAAGACACTCATAGAACCATTGTTTAAAAGATAGTATTCTGTGGTCTGTAGCTACACCATCCCTTAGGACTCTTCTAACTTAGATATGAAAATACTGTTTCAACGATAAAAGTTGACAGCATATACTTTTTTTTTTTTTTTTTTTTTTTTTGCGGTACGCGGGCCTCTCACCGTTGTGGCCTCTCCCATTGCGGAGCACAGGCTCCGGACGCGCAGTCTCAGCGGCCACGCTCCGCGGCATGTGGGATCTTCCCGGACCGGGGCACGAACCCGCGTCCCCTGCATCGGCAGGCGGACTCTCAACCACTGCGCCACCAGGGAAGCCCAACAGCATATACTTTTAAGTATGAACTGAGTTTCATATATGCAGTGAGTAGTTTTTAGTATAAGTATGTCCTATGCACTATTTGGGACATACTTCTATTAAAGAATTATTCTGTTTATCTGAAGTTCAGGTTTAACTGAGCAAGCCGTATTTTATCTGTTAAACTGTAAGAAAGAAAAAAGGGTAAGTTACAGGGATGTAATATTCAGCACAGGGAATACAGTCAATAATATCATAATAACTTTGACGGGTAATCTATAAAAATATCAAATCACCATGTCGTACACCTGAAACCAATATAGTATTGTAAGTCAACTATAGGCCAATATTTTAAAAAAGAAAAAAATATTTAACTTATTTTCTCAGTTCTCAAACTCTTTGTCCACAGAGTCAAACCTACCTATTTATTTAAGTTACTTTTGAATGGCAAGTTTTGATGACACAAGGTAAGTGAGCTGTCTATCCAGAGTGTGAACACAGGACAGGCACTGAAATTTTAAGTGACACAGTTTCCCTGTAAAGACCACGGGGTGAATGCCCTGCCTTGGATCCTATTATAAATTAGTCCTTTCCTCTTTTATTAGCTAAAGCTGCCACTGAGTATCAGATTCAGTTCTAGTACTTGTGATGCATTAAATGAGTCAAGCCTCACAATACTCTTATGAGGTTGATACTATAGTTATCCCATTTTACAGATGGAGAAACTGAGGCCCAGGAGGTTAGACAGCTTGGTCCAGGCTGAGCTGGAATATCCACAGTCTGGTACTAGAGCCTCTTTCCAAACCACGGCCTCTTACCATCTGATCCTTGAGCTTCACACGACACCAGGCAGCCACACACTCCTGACTTCTGGTGTGGGTTTGAGGGAACGTTGCAGACTTCACAGCAAGATTCAAAGAGGTGCGTTTGGTTAGAGTTCTAAAAGTCAAACTGGGCTTTAAAACATAACTGCTTAAGGATGTTTCCAGATTCACACTGGAATAAAAATCCCCTGGGATTTTTCTCTAAAGTAAGTCGAGCAGGATAACGGCAGCTGGGGTTTGCCACTGCCCCATTAATCCCCATAAACTTGGCTGTGCCTCCAGGGAAGATGTGGGCATGTAATACAGCCATGTGCAGGCAAGGATGGCGAGGGAGAGGGGGGACTTCGGGATGTAGGTGAGAGACTGAGCACGTGTTCCCCTCTCCCTGCGGCCACTCTATAGATTTACCCTTGTGCCAGCATCACTCCTCATGTCCCGTTTACTCTGTCCCACCACGGTCCTCCCACCCACATCCGCACCCTGTCCCCAGGAGGGGGGCTACTTAATAACCTGAAAATTACTGAGGGCTAGGATTATTCCTAACAGAACTTTCCATCTCATACTTCTCCCAATAGCACGTTCCTATTTGTTCCCACTCTCCTCTCTAGTATTTGCTCTTTTTTCTTTTTTTCCTTCTTTCTTTTAAAAAAAGCTGATAATGATTTTGGCATTGAAAAGTTTTTACTCCCCCCCTCCTCAGTTTTATTGAGATATAACTGACACATAACATTGTGTAACTTTAGGGTGTATAATGTGATCATTGGATACCTGTATATGTTAGTTTTAAACAGTTGTCTCTGGGGTGTGGAGAAAAGGGAGTCCTCCTACACTGTTGGTGTAAATGTTAAGTTGGTGCAGCCACTATGGAAAACAGTATAAAGATTCCTCAAAAAACTAAAAACAGAGTTGCCACATGATCCAGCAATCCAACTCCTGGGCATATATCCAGACAAAACTATAATTCGAAAAGATACATGCACCCCTATGTTCACAGCAGCATTATTTACAATAGCTAAGACATGGAAACAACCGAAATGTCCATCGACAGATGAATGGATAAAGATGCGGTACATATATACAATGGAATACTACTCAGCCATAAAAAATAATGAAATAATGCTATTTGCAGAACATGGATGCAACTAGAGATTATCATACTAAGTGAAGTTAAGTCAGGTAGAGAAAGACAAATACCATACGATATCACTTATATGTGGAATCTAAAATATGACATAAATGAACGTATCTATGAAACAGAAACAGACTCACAGACATAGAGAACAGACTTGTGGTTGCCAAGGGGGAAGAGAGATGGGGGAGTGAAGGAATGGGAGTTTGGGATTAGCAGAGGCAAACTGTTATATATAGAATGGATAAACAACAAGGTCCTACTGTAGAGCACAGGGAACTATATTCAATATCCTGTGATAAACCATAATGGAAACGAATATGAAAAAATATGAATATATACGTATAACTGAATCACTTTGCTGTACAGCAGAAATTAACACAACATTGTAAATCAACTATACTTCAATAAAATAAATTAAAAAAAGAAACAGTCTTCTCTGATCCACTGAATAGCTAGCATGGGAAAAAGAGTTTTTTGAACTGCAACTAATACAACATTTTTTTTTTTTTTTTTTGCGGTACACGGACCTCTCACTGTTGTGGCCTCTCCCGTTGCGGAGCACAGGCTCCAGACACGCAGGCTCAGCGGCCATGGCTCACGGGCCCAGCCGCTCCGTGGGACATGGGATCTTCCCGGACCGGGGCACGAACCCGTGTCCCCTGCGTCGGCAGGCGGACCCTCAACCACTGCACCACCAGGGAAGCCCTAATACAACATTTTATTGCAGAGTATAACAACTCAATCATCAATTATAACACACTTCAGATGAGTATACGCTGTTTCAGTTTGCACTTATAAATCGTATTTCTTCAGGAGATGTGAATCGGAACTGATTTTCTGCATACTTTCAAATACGCATCATCTGTGGTGTGTTATTAGAAGTCCTGAGGTAGGTATTTTAAAACAGTCCATGAAAAATGGGACTCAGGTTATTTTACGAATTGTTGTTTGAGCCTATGCGTAATCTCTCGGACATTAACATGTCTGATAAACATTAGAGCACTGTCTGCACTCAGCAGACTGGACAGAACTACAGACATCATCTCTATTCACTAGGCTGCTATTTTCTCAATAATCTAATTTTGTCTCTCATAAGATATTAATGCCTTTGGAAGTCTTGCTCTTAATCCTATTCATTCCTAAGCCAGCCTTTAAAAGTGCAGGAGGAAATATGCAAAGGCGGTCAGTTTCGCTGACTTATGAATTAAATCACTAAAGGCAAACCTAAGAATTTCAGGATGGCTAAAATGCAGAACTTCATTTGGAAATGTTTTCTGGACTTAAATCAAACCTTTGGGCCCTGGTTTGTGATTGTTTTCTTGGCTTTGCAGTCTTCTGAACTGCGGTCATTGGTAATACGTGAGGACACACGTGTAAGCAGAGCAAAGCGTGTCTGTGTATTTGCCTGCGTTGAACAAAGACCTGGCCTTCAAAGGAGCAGAGCGGTGGTGGGGCTCTGACTGCTGTAGTGAGCCTTGGACAATTAAGCTAAACCCAAGATAAGGCAGCATCTGGGGCATAAAACTGAGGCATCATGAGGGCCCCCCAAGAGGAGAAAGAAGCAGAGTTTGAACGTCGAAGGATAGGGGGGTGGTACAAACTGATTTTAAAGATACTCTAATTCCAGACAAGATGTTTTCCAACTAGGAGCTAGTCAGGTAGATGCAGTACCAGCGACACGTTCTTAGATTTAAAAAGCCATGTGGCTTTCTAATCCTATTTTTACTGTAAGCATGCTGCTACTTTATCTTCACCAATGACTGTGAACTAATTTTACTTAATAAGGTAACAGAGAAATCCAAGCCCCTTCCTTCTCCCCCCTCACCACACATACACACACACACACACACACACACATACACACTCAGTGAAGGTGTGCTCTTTTGAAGCAGACTCTTCAAATAAATTAATTCTCTTCAGTTTGGGAAAGACTTTCCAACAGAATTAGGCTGAAGACAGAGGCTGTGAAAGGGGTGAGTCCTACATTTATATATGGTGCCAGATTATATATCGCTGTTCCTGGAAAGGCCCCCAAGGGCTGCCTGCACTGGATCCCAGGACAGCGACCTGCTCCCTGGGCTGGCGGGACGGTGACAGCTGTCACTGCCGTGACACTAGCCGGTCCCTCTACTGCCATCTCATCTCCATGCAAGACATTGCTGGTTGGTCTACAACTGTTCTAGGTGGACAGCTTCTTCCAGAGATAACCCTCAAAATTATTGGGATTTAACATCAGACTTTATTATAGGAAAAGCCAGGAAAGGTGGTGAGGAATGGGGAAGAGAGCCTGGCAGGCCTCTGTTTTCATGGCGTATTTATGCAGAATAAAGAAAAAGGTGAAGAAGTGTTTCTCCTCTTTTCATTTAAGGTAGGACATCCCCCCGGTGGTTAAGTCTCACCGCTGGATGGAAATGGATCCAGGGATGAAACAGCTGTTGCCTTCCTGGCGGCCTCGTGGGCCCCACCTGCTAGGGGAGATGTCGCACAGCCCCCGGGCGCCGCGCCCAGGCGGGCGGAGGGGGAGCCCAGGTGCGGGGTGCGTGCTCACCTCGTACTCCTCCTTGAAGCCGTAGCCCTCCGCACACTTCATCTGCGTGATGTGCTGAAGCAGGTCGGCCACCCGGATGGCAGGGTGCAGCTGCCCCGTCTGGTAGGGCACGTCGGCCGGCTCGCGCTTCTTGTACGTGTGGGGCTGCACCAAGCTGCTGGTGTCACTGGCCATCGTGTGCGTCTCGTCTGGGAAAAGAAGGCCGTGGAAAAAATGAGGGGAGCCAGCAGCTACAACGGGGTCACCGAGAATCTAAGAAGAGGCTGCTGACATCCCCTCAACCTACGGCTGCCACGATCCCCGTGATGGCTCAGCAAAAAAGAAAAGTTAAGTGTCTAGAGATTTCAGTGGGGTTGGCAATACTAGTAGGGATGAGGCAGGAATCTTTGTTTTTACAAAGCAGTCCAAACGATCTCTTGCTTTCCCAAAGCTAGTTGGTAAGAATCCTTTAGCCTTCGGGGGCTAAAGTTCATCGAAGTTTCAGTCTGAAACTTCATCAAGGCCTGGTGCAAAACCAGTCTTGTGCTCTTCCGAAGATTCGTGAACTCATTTGTATGATGATGGAAATCAACTCTGTATGAATGTTCTGTGAGCAAAGAAAAAGTGCACAAGATGGGTTGGCTTACAAAGCTAGCAATGAAAACGTGGACATGATACATGAGATCCAAGATAACTGGGGGGGCGGGAGGGGGAGAGAAAGGAACCTGGTTGGATAAGTCACTTCGCATGCTCCAGGATCAGAAAGCTGGACAGGATACGGTGGGCCAACACAGCACTCATGGGATGATCTACAGGAGCTAACATGCAGGCCAACGCACAGCAGAACCAGCTGGCTTTGTTCTACAGAGAAGACACCCCCCCCGCCCATTCCCTCCACACCTTCTCCATGGGGCGGGCGCATGGGGGAACTTACCATTTATAGGCACTTTTAAGAAGATACATATCAGGAGAAAAGAGGAGGAGAAAAAGGAAACAGGGCATAAGCAATAGTACTGCGTGAATAAGTACAGGTAGTTTTTATTTTGTGTTTTAATTTTACAGTTAAGTTTTCTATTCATAGGTGGTCAGAGGGCAGCGCCTCATTTCTCCCATCACCTTAGGATGGAGGTGTTTAATTTAAGCACTCAATAAGAAAAGGAGGTTAAAATAGTATCATAATTGCTTTTCATCCCCCATGAACCAAGTAATGACTAAATAAGTCTTAGTTGTGCTCCATACATTTTCTCACTTAAATTTCTTGAACAAGTCAACCAAATTGTATTACAGAATTAATGTCAGAATTTGGTCAAATAAGCCTAAAGAGGCTATATTTTAATGGAAGACTCCTAGTAAATTAGATTAATGAACTGCAGAAATTGTAGCTATTAAAAAATGTCTTATGCGGGAAGGTGCTATTAGGTTAAGGGTTCCACATTGTACAGGTTAGCTCATTCTAATGCTGAATCCCCTCAGCCATTTTACAACTGAGGGTCTGTCTCATCAAAATATAATGAGAAAGTCACTTAAACTGAGAACATTAAATCAAAATTGGTTTCAGGCATAAAGAGTGAAAACATATAAGAAAAGATAAGTTCAATTAAAAAAATGACCAGATTGTTTATCAATAGGGAATTCAGCTATGGGTTTTTGTTTGTTTGTTTAAACTGAGAAGTTCAGCTCCAAAGGAGATTTAGTTCAAGGGCGCTTGGTGAGCTGGGCCTGGCTTTGAAACCTCACTCCTATCTGCATTGCAAAGCACCTGGGATGCATGGTATGAAGGGTGGCACACAGGTGTGTAGCTATGTGCTGCTGCTGAAATGGTACCTGGATCACTACAAGGTGGCTAAAGACACAAAGACAAAATAAAAAAGGTGGTAAGTTGATTTTATGATTGTTTTTTTCATTTGGATTTGCTTTGAAATTTAGAAATTCTTATGTTCCCATCTACTAGAACAGTTGCAAATAAACCGGGACATTTTCACATCGGATTTGCTTGTTGGCAACTGCCAAGCTCACGATGTAGGGGAGGCTCCCTCCTGAAGCCCTGAATCCCTGGAGCTTTCAGCTGCTCCAGCAGGAAGTTCTGCTCTTTATACTCAAGTACATGGAACATTAATTAGTTTCCCCTCTGTGCCTCTCGTTCTCTCAGTTTTGCACCTTTAGGGATGAACGTAATTAAATGCCCTCCACTGTGGACTGACCTTCTACACCTCCCCAAATGAATCATGTGGGTCTTCCATGTGGATCCACTGGCAACCTCACAGTGCTCTGATCCCAGGGCGAGGCATTCTTGGAAGTTTTAAGTCCACAGAGCAGTCACCACTGTATGTATCACCCCCACTGCACTACGATATCTTGACCTCATTATTATGTGGACACGTCTTAAAGCATTTAAACACTACCAGATCATCTAAGAAAAGAACACTATTACTGAGAACATAGCTGCCGACGAGGAAACTGAAGGTTTCTGGTGTGATATCTGTTTTGAAATTGGGTCACCTAAACTAGCAGAAAATCTTGATTCCACCAAAATTAGTGATCCATCAGTTTCCTCTGACTTCTTCAAAAAGAATGATTACTGATAAAATATATCATTTGTCACCAACTTCCTATACTTGTTAAAAGTTACCCACCCACAATTTTTAATTAAAAATTATGGCTAAGAGGAAATCAGAAATAAAGCTACTCACTAAAAGTTCCGATGGTTTTCTAAGAACTGAGAATTCATTCTACCTACATTCTTTAACAAACTGTCTCGAATTTTCAATGAACCAGCTGAAAAATCTTGAATTGAAATGGATGCTGCTTTTGAGGTAGGCGATGGTCCTACCTCGCTATCCATCTATCCATCTATCTAGCTATCTATTTTTTTTTTTTTTGCAAGAAAATGATATAAAGGCATGCTAAAGCTTTATACATTAGGGCTGGGCACCTTAGCCTGTGAGAATAAAAGGCACTCGAGGATTTAATTGTGCTAAGCTGTGAGTCACAACAAAACACATCTTCCTGTCTTAGCGTAAATTAAAATAGCACTATTCCCCAAAAGTGCCAGGGTAGATGTACAGCATATCTTCATTGCATGGTTTCAAGTGATAACCTATGTAACATATGGATTCACCTTCGCACCGAGTGACGTGGAAGGGACAGTCCCCAAGCACCGCCATTTGTCACATTGGCGTGTTGGTACCAGCTCAACACGGTAACAGTTATTTGTTGATCTGGCTGACTTATTTTTCACAATGTGCATCATTTTTGCTATCTGAATTGTCTGTTCAAGTGACTCTCTCTCTGTAGAGAAGCCTAACCAACTTTAAAAGATGTCATTAGTGTTCGTAATAACAAAGCCCCAACTTTAAAAGATGGTATTTGTTTAATAAGCTTATCTAAATCCTGCTGTGAAATCTGAACATTTTCTTCCCTCTGACAATGCACATCTCAGCCCTCCCCACTCATAGCTTCCCCCAAGGTCAGAACACCTACTAGAGGAATTGCGGAATGAATGCCAGGCACACAAAGAAATCGCAAATTTCCCATCAAGAGATTCTGCAAATGTCATCTGCATTTAGATTGCATTGTTCAGGCACCTAAGATTAGCCTGTGCCCCTCACTTATGAAAAGGATAAAAATGCAGCTTTCTTTCCCTTACGGTCAGGATTAAAAGGTGGCAGCTTTAGTGGGGTTTGTTTATTAGTCCTCAAAATGACGCAAATTCAAAACGTCTGCTTTAGATCCATTCTTCAACTTCTGTCTGAGTTCATTTTTTCCTCAAGCAACAAACTTGCTTAATCAAGCCCAGAAAACACCATAAGGGGGAAAAAAACCCCAACACCCTCTACATAAAAATCATAACAACTTAAGAGAAAAGAGAAGCACAGGGGGAAAAATTATGTTGCCAAGATATAAACCCTTGTAAAGAGAGTTAGGAAGCGGGACTGGCACAGCTGAGGATGGAGCTCTGGCTGCGAGGGGTGGTTATACACCTTGAAGTCATCTGTGTTGTGCTCCTTTTCTGTAAGGTTAGTAGTACTGATAGAGAGAGAACATAGCCGGGTACGCTCGGGCTACGGTCTCAAAGGCAACAGCAGCTCATGCTTGTTTGGTTCTATCACGGCCAGGTAATGCCATTTCTCCTCACCCTTCTTATATCTGGACAAATGGGATTTTTTTTCTTTAAGCCCCCGCTGGGAATATTTCCTACTTTCACTGCATTCTGTCCCATGGGGGCTAACATTTTGTTTCATTTCCGGCGCCTCCGGCACATAATAAACCACGTGATTCTGAAGCGTCAGCCTGTCGTTCTGCTGTTGAGGTCAGCGGCTCCTTTGAAATCCCACTGTGTGACAGACATCTGAAATGCTGGGGGTGCCCTGGGTAGCTCCGAGGAGGGGGAGGGGGCCAAAGCTCTACTGTGACGATTTTTCTGCATAACATTTGGCAGAATTAGAAAAATGCTATTTTTGAAACTGCTGTTTTCAGTGCTTAGCAATAAGTGAAAATAATAAGAAGCTATTTTCACGTTTATGACTGTCACCACTTTGGACAGACTTTAGGTCTTGCAAGTACACAGCTGAGTGATGACAAACTGTGTTTTTCCTTGGGATCAAAGCTGACTTTTAATTCTGAACCTGGACAGGGAGAGCGCTGGAGCCGGGGGGATCGTTCATTAGAACCTTTTGGTATCATTCCCAACACACACATGGCAAACCCTTCTTATCAATGGAGATCATTTAAAGAAAGTCTTTTTATTATCTATGCCCACCCCCAACCCCTCCAGGCCATCCACCACCCCCATGTCCGGGTTATGATCCTCGCATCAAACTGCCGTCTCCTACAGAGTGGCCACTGACTTTAGAAATTACTCCTGTAATAAACTGTGATAAAGGGAAATGTTCTCACCTAAAATTGCAGTTGGCACAAATGGGTCTGCCATACATCATAAGCAGGTCAATGCAGAGAAAGTAAAAAGAGAAAGAACAGTAAATGACTGATGAAAGGCCCCCCCAGTTTTCCCGCAGAAAGCCACAGAAAGCATCGGGTTACAACACTTCAAACACGCTAAGCTCCTAAAGCAACCTGGGCAGCAAAGTGAGCCCTGGGTGATTCTGACTGCTCAGGGTTTATGAAGAGATGAAACAACGGAAAGCTATGTTACCTGGGTAGTAGGAATTAGGCACCGATGTGCTCAGGGTGTTCGTTTTCATGGTAAAGGACGATGGTGAAGACACAGCTGTAAATAAGAGAAAAGGCATGTCAGTGGGGGCAGAGAAGCAACACCAGAAAATATGGCCCTGAGGTCACTCCTGGGGAAACGACACTGGGTAGACTGTTGACCAAAGAAACAACAGAGGTTTACCCGAGTCTGTGCAGTAAATACTATCAGTCTCCACTGTCTCTGTGGGGAGTTACTTGTACTTTAGAGGACACGCCCCCTTTCATCACTGAAAAGATTTTCTGATCCCACAAATGAAGGAAAAAAACCCACAACCACAGCTGCCATTTTGGATTAAGGAATTCATTAATTTCCCTTTTGACTTCTAGCCTTTGCTTGCAGAATTTTACTACCACACTGAACTGATTTTTACAACTAAGTATGAGAGTGTTTCTACACATGGCTTCTGGAGAACATTCTGAATGTCAATGCTTCTGTACTTTGCTAAATCCTCACCCTGCTCCTGTTCTGGATACTGAGAGAGCTTTTCACAATGCTACGATCTGTTTTATGAAAAATAAAGATGATGCTCCCTGTGTACTATATTTAATGTGAAAGCTGCATGCCTACACGTTGTCTTATCCGGCCTTTAAATCCTTGTAAACATGCTTATTTTTCTTTGAAATCTTCCTCTGAAACACTCGAGATTTAACTACAACACCTTCTCTTCCCCCTGTCATTAAGAGGTAGAGTCAATCCCATCCAATTTATCTGATTCCGTTGAAAGTGGATATTTCCTATTTTTAAAGTTTAACTCTCTTCAACGTCTTAATTGATGAGTGCTTTAAAAACACTTTAATTTCATTAAAGTGCAAGGATAAATTATTTGAATGTGCTCAAGTGCTCAAGCTGGTTAGATCTAAGTCTAAATTTTAACTCCTCTGATGTGGTTATACGGTTTATTTGATGCTGAGTTCCCGATCAGGACACTAATACCCACTTACATGGCTGGTTTATGGGCGGCTCTACCAAATCCCTGTGGTTATTGCATGTCAGCTTTATCCTGATGACACGTTAATATATTTTCACTCTCTTGGAGCAGTTCCCTTCAGACAATGATTTTACCTGTGTTTATATTTTTCAAGTATAGAATTAGCAAACGACAGAACCAGAACCCAGGCTGCCTGTCAGTTATATTTTTCTAAAATAGAGAAGTATCACATTTATAATGCATGTTTATGATAAGCTGCCAGGAAGAAAGAGAGCAGTTGATAAAAAACAAGGACAAAACCCCGAGTACCTATAAAACATGCCAGGGGTCAGGGAGCATAATGCCTATGACCTGCTGACATTTTTATTTGTTTTGTAATAATGTGCAAAGCAGATACAAAATAACTATGTTTATTTTCACCTTTAAAAACATATTTTACACCCCTTTTTTGTATAAGAATTAAACCCATACCCACTATCCATATCTACTCTCCCCCCTTTTAGGTATGACTCCCATTTGCTTTGGTGGATGGATTACTCCCCATTCTTATAAACGTGCTCAGGCTTATTTTTAAATTCTCCAACCTCAGTTTTCTCACCATCTCATTCCTAAAAACTACTTGCTTCCCAATCCTAAAAGATCTCAAACACATCCAGGCTTGGAGTAGGTCTGGGCTAGAAGCCTAGTGGTCTAATGAACACTTTTCATGAAAATTTCCTTCTCCAGTAACTGCTCTTTTAATTTAAAGGCATTTAGAGAGTATGACGATGACAAAGTTTACCATTAGGGTCACTGCCCGTGGATGGGATTGGATGAGACCTACCCATTGTTCAGAGAGCGGGAGGACAGTGGAACGCCTCGTGCCGTGCTTCCTCCATTGGCTTTACCGATGGAAGCATCAAATAACGCCTCCTGGCGGGTGAGCCCCGGAAGCTGTGTCCCCACTGCTGCAGCAGCCCCCTCTACACGGGCAGTTTTGGATTTCCACAGACACATTCATTTTTTAAAAAGTCAATGCCAAATTGAATAACCTGTCCAGAGGCAAATACCTCCTGTTGCTCAAACTTCAAAAGCCTAGAAACTACCAATGTAGGTTTCTGCTCTTTGGGTAGGCAATTCCAAGTAAATTTATTCGTGAGGAATTTCACCATGAAATAGAAGATGTGGAACAGTGATGGGTTATCATGGAAAGAGCGAGCATGTATCCGCGTGGTCCCTTCCACACTGTTGGTCAAGAAATAACTGCTCTGACAAAAATTCTCATCTTGTCTGTGGTGGGAAGGACTCGCCCCCCTCCCCCCCAATGCATCCTAAGTTTCTTTATTTTGGCAGTTAAACGCATTGCATACCTTTAAATGGAAAATATATTTGCTACAAAAAAGCAGAGAAAATTGTACGAAAAAAAGGGATGGAATTTGTGGTAAACTGAAGTACCCCAGATTCTGCCACCTACACTGAAAATGACATGAAAGGGCAAAGGACAATGACCACGGTTGAGGAGTGTGTCCTGCCCGCCGGGGTGAGAACCGTGTCTGCTGAAGTCCCGCACCAGTGGGCCAGGGCTGCATGTGGATAAATAAACGTAAGGCCTCTAACTGGGATAAGGTGGACAATAGTAGCCACTGTGAACAGAAAGGAACACGCCTTTCCACGAAGCCTTGCTGAATGTAGGGGAAAGGCAGGTGTGGGAGAAGGGTGCTGACCACAGCAGGTGTGATCAGAGAGGGTGGGGGGCCGGGGGAGATGCAGATCCCAACAGCCCAGGTGGGTGGTCAGGACAGGAGCGTACACCTTCTGCACTGGGATCAGCCCTCTCGCACCAGAGACCGTGTGTCTGTGATTCTCCCAATCCCCAGCCTTAACTTTATTACTATTGGTGACAGCTGTCCTTTATCCATCCGCAAGCCGTCCAGCATCCTGGTTGCACAGCCAGGGTCGGCAGCAGCCTTTGGGCATGGATTTCACACGTTAAAGAAACCTCTGACCTTGAACCTGTCAGCGCTGTGAACCACATCATTAGGCACAGGACACGGGATTGACTTTTGGTCCCCAAGAAGATCACCAGGGACACGGCAACTGCACTTTTTGTATTCATACAATCCGTGTAATTGCTGGCTTCCTAAAATAACGCCTTGTACCTGGATGGCAGGTGGCAGCATGGAAGGTATTAGCTGATCTCCGTTTACCCACCTGGTGTGAAACATAAGCCTTCTGAAGTGGAAATACAATTTAGCTTATTAATTGCCACTAACAGCCCTATAATAAAGGCAGAACTTGTCAGCTAAACAAATAAACAATTAGCTTGTTACTGCCATTTAGTGAACTGCTTTATAACGGGCTTCCCCCGAGTGACTGCACACCTGCCTCGCTTACAAACAGGAGCTGCATAACAACAGGGATGGGGAGAAGCAGGTGCCTTCCTCTGGGTGAGGAGGGAAGCCTCCGTGTCACTGCTCTTGGGTCTTTACAGAAACGTGGCCGTGGCCGCCCGTGCTGTCTGCTTTGGTCCCGTCACCCCGCCCACATCACCGTTCCTAAGCAACCGTGGCACGTGGGGACGTGTCCAGGATCATCTGAAGGGACTGGAGAAACCAACAGGGCCTAAGAATTCTCTGGGAGGTTTTGTTTCGTAAGCCCCAGCACCACGTGGAATCCTGGAAACCTGAGAGCTGCCCTGAGGGCAGGCCCCGCACAGCACTCACATCTCCCGTTGAGGTTGTGCGTGTCCATGAAGGAGAAGGCCTCGTCGCAGCTGGTGCCCTGCTCCGCGTAGCTCTTGTCCATGGAGCTCACCATCACCGTCATTTCCTGCCGCGTGCTGCTCATCGTCTCCTTCCGCTTCCTGGCCAGTTTCCTTGGGACAGAGAGTTCATTATGCAGACATGCGTGAGGATGGAAAAGGTGCACTGACCAACGCTCGGGAATCACTTGTATGGAATTAATGGTATTCATCCATAACAGTGTCTCATGATGCCTTCTAGATGGCAGGTTCTCTGCCAGCTGCAGACATGCAGAGGAGACCCATCTCCTGCCTGTCCTCAGAAAAACCCCCTCAGGCCAAAAGGCACATGAAAAGATGCTCAACGTCGCTAATTATTAGAGACATGCAAATCAAAACTACAACAAGTTATCACCTCAAACCGGTCGGAACGGTCATCATCAAAAAGTCTACAAACAGTAAATGCTGGAGAGGGTGTGGAGAAAAGGGAACCCTCCTACACCACTGGTGGGAATGTAAGTTGATGCAGCCACTATGGAGAACAATATGGAGGTTCCTTAAAAAAACTAAAAATAGAGCTACCATACGATCCAGCAAACCCACTCCGGGGCAGATATCCAGAGAAAACCATAATTCAAAAAGATACGTGTACCCCAGTGTTCATAGCAGCACTGTTTATAATAGCCAAGAAATGGAAGCAACCTAAGTGTCCATCGACAGAGGAATGGATAAAGAAAATGTGATACATATATACAATGGAACACTACTCAGCCGTTAAAAAAAAGAATGAAATAATTCCATTTGCAGCAACATAGATGGACCTAGAGTTTATCATACTGAGTGAAGTAAGTCAGATGAGAAAGACAAATATCTTATAATATCACTTATATATGGAGTCTAAAAAAATGATGCAAATGAACTTATTTACAAAACAGACACAGACAGTTCAGATATACACACTACTATATGTAAAATAAACAACAAACTGTACAGCACAGGGAAACATACCCAATATTTTGCAATAACCTATATGGGAAAAGAATCTGAAAAAGTATACATATATATCTGAATCACTTGGATGTACATCTGAAACTAACAACATTGTAAATCAACCGTACTTCAATTTAAAAAAAAACCCTCAGTCATGTTAGGAACGTACAGCCTAAACATTACCTTACACTTCTCCTACTATGAGCTAAAGTAAAAGGGCCAATGACCCTAGTACAATGCAGTCATAATATACTTACTGATAGGCTTCTACAGTTACTAACTTTGCACTAAATTATTCCTGACATGCCATATTCAGGGTCCAGGAGTAGATCCCCCTAGTAGATATTCATCATAAAAAACCGAAATAATCCAAGCAGTGAATCTAAGGGGCGCCCTGCAGAACCAAAGAACAACCCAGGCGAGGTGTGAAGACAGCATCGCTGGAGTGTGCGTGGGACGGGAGGAGGCTGTGAGGCAGCCTGCATGGACAGAGGCCTCTGAGGGGCATCTGCCAAATCTCAGATGGCTGTGACACTGGACCGAACCCCAAATGAACCCAAAGTAGCTCCCCATCAAGGCTGGTCAACAGGGCAGAAGGTAAAAAAAGTCAAGTTGTCGACTTCCCTGCCAAGTTTTGCAGAGGGGTGAGTCCTCAGGCTCCCTCCCTGGGTGAAAGAGATGCAAAAAGGCCCTGGAAGGCAGAGAGAGTTCCAGTTCTTTTGGAGACAGAGTTTAACCCTGGCCTTTCTATCATGCTCATTAACCACCAGAAGCTCATAATCTTAAGTTACAGAGACCTGGACAAAACCCAAAAAAACCTAAGGGAAACTGACATTCGAACACACAGATAAAACACATTTTTATAGCTCTTACTACCAGAGGTTGTTTGATGCACCCAGGACAGACAAGAAGAGAATTAGAGATGCTTAAGAAGAAGGTATAAAGCAAGAAGCTTTAAGAAGACGAGAGCACCGTAATACTGAAAATATAATGCCCTAAATATTCTAATTTTGCTTAAGCACTTAGCATGTACACAAGAAAATGGCAGCTGTTTCTAGCAAATCATCTTGACTCTGATGAACCTAGGACACAGCAGAATTGAAAATGAGCTGCATGATCAAAATCACCCCCGTATTAGGTGATTATTAATGCAGTGTAAGACACTGACAACATTAGACCATATGGATAAACTTTATTTTCATTTCCAAATGCCACATAATCCAAATGCTTTCTTGCCCGTAGTTATAATAATCTTTTGATTTCATACTTGGAAGGCAGAAGGGTTTCATTAATAAGTTGTCCCCTTTTTTTTTTTTTTTTTAGATGTTGGGGGTAGGAGTTTATTAATTAATTTATTTATTTTTGCTGCGTTGGGTCTTCGTTTCTGTGCGAGGGCTTTCTCTAGTTGTGGCAAGCAGAGGCCACTCTTCATCACGGTGCGTGGGTCTCTCACTATCGCAGCCTCTCTTGTTGCGGAGCACAGGCTCCAGACGCGCAGGCTCAGTAGTTGTGGCTCACAGGCCTAGTTGCTCCGTGGCATGTGGGATCCTCCCAGACCAGGGCTCGAACCCGTGTCCCCTGCATTAGCAGGCAGATTCTCAACCACTGTGCCACCAGGGAAGCCCTAGTTGCCCCTTTTTTATTGCCAAAAGTTGTTGGAAAAAAAAGATACATTTTTAAACAGAAAAATGAAAATGATCTATAACTTCTGTGACAGTGCTGAAGTTGTAAAGACGGGAATGTATAATAAAACTTGAGCAGCCACTGTGGAGAACAGTATGGAGGCTCCTTAAAAAACTAAAAACAGAGCTACCATATGATCCAGCGATCCCACTCCTGGGCATACATCTGGAGAAAACTATAATTCAAAAAGATACATGCACCCCAATGTTCATAGCAGCACTATTCACAATAGCCAAGACATGGAAGCAACCTAAGTGTCCACTGACGGATGAATGGATAAAGATGTCGTACATATATACAATGGAATATTACTCAGCCATAAAAAAGAATCAAGTAATGCCATTTGCAGCAACATGGATGGACCTCAAGACTGTAACACTAAGTGAAGTAAGCCAGACAGAGAAAGACAAATATCATATGATATCACTTATATGCGGGATCTAAAAAAACGATGCAAATGAACTCATTTACAAAACAGAAATAGACCCACATCCATAGAAAACAAACTTATGGTTACCAAAGGGGAAGAGAGGGAGGGATAAATTAGGAGTTTGGGATTAACAGATACACACTACTATATATAAAATAGATAACCAACAAGGACCTACTGTACAGCACAGGGAACAATACTCAATATCTTGTAATAACCTATAAGGGAAAAGAATCTGAAAAAGAATATATATTCTTATATATATTCATATATATATAATACATATATATAAAAAACTGAATTGCTTTGTTGTACACCTGAAACTAACAAAGCATTGTAAGTCAACTATATCTCAATAAAAATTTAAAAAATATGCATTTACAAAAAAAGTTGTAAAGGTTTTGAAAAGGAAGCTGGCATGTCTCCCCTGGGTGCCAGCGTGCAGATGCTGGTCATCTTCTCCAGAGCCCCCTTTTCTCCAGCCAAACACGCTAGTCTAAGGGGCAGAATCTAGGCTTGGATGTTCTCCACAGGTGTTCTGGATAGAGGTAGCACTGGCTCCAGACCCACTGCTGCAGTTACAACAGTACATTTGCTCTCCACTTCTGTGTCTGCCAGCTCACTGGAAAAGCATTCTTAAGCCAGGTCTCCCCAGGAGCACTAAAGTGGAGGACCGAGATAATTAGCATCATCATTCAGGCAAAACGTCCCCCCTTTGCTGGAATTTCTTTAATTTGCTTTGGACTGAGTTATGCAGATAATTGCCCCAATATTTTCTTCTGTTTTGCCTATGAAGAGAGACATAGTCAAGTTCGCCAGACTTCCCTCTTCGTCTTCTCTTGCTTGTGTTTCTCTAATCCTTACAGGTTAGGAAATGACAGTGAAAGTGCTTCTCACTGCTGGTGGGAGGTGGTGGTGGAGGGCGGATGTGTGCTCCAATAAAAGCCAAGCTTGTACTGGAAAGATCTTTCTCCTCTCTAATCCTCCGTGTGTGAACTAATTTCAGTGATGTCATGCTACACACTCCACTGCTGATCTTCCTTAAGCACAAAAGAAGCCCATTAAGGACTCATGAGAACCTGCTCAAATCCAGCAGAGGTCCAGCTGGAGACCCACAGCTTTAGGCTCATGTCCGTTAAGCACATACTCTGTGTCCGTGAACCTTCAAAACATGGCTCCCATGTCCTCAGCAAGCCTTCCTGCATTAACCTCACCCTTTGACCACAGACACAAATGTCTCACTGGGGGCCAGCCAGGCAGGTACTGCAAGGGAGTGAAGCGGGTCTAAGGCAATAAGGAGTGGTGGGCACTGGAGAAATGGAAGGGGAGACAGCCTCTCAGCTCCAGGGGGTGGATGCCCCATAAGGGTCCCCGAAATTGTAAATTGCAGGAGAAACCAGAAATCCAGATTTTATAGGAACTGTCTGAATTCTAAGTATTGTCAAATAATTCAAATTAAAAATTTAAAAGACTATGTAGCCCAAACAAAGCATGTTTGTGGACACTTCTGCTCTCCACTAATACAGCACTTAGAAACTTAATTGTGTTGGAAGGGAGGGGAGTGGAAACTGACATATAATACGTAACTACTGTATGGCAGTGCTCTGCAAGTGTTCTCTCATTTAATCCTAGTAACCTGGTAAGAGCTATTTTTACTTCTTATTTTATAGATGGAGGAACTGAGTCTCAAGGACTTAAGTAAGTTGTCCAAATGGTGGAGCTGGAATTGCACCCCAGATCTCTCTTGACCCCAAAGGTACCCATTCTAGAACAATGTGCTGTATCTAGTAAAGTATTTCATTAATTTACATTCTCTTACAAGTTTACATTACAATTATCACCAAGTTGCTTTCAAACGTGAATACTCTATCACCTCATAACTAAATATTATGAATTGAAAAAAGTAGGATTAATTTACTAGCACCTAGCCAACGCTTTACACAAAGCAGGTGGTATTAAATACGCTTGTTAATTGAATTAACAATTGTCACACCAAAGCATTAGAAAAGACAGTTTTTCTGCAACCTCCTAA